CCCCCCCCCGGCTCTTGCCCACTTTCCCTGCTATTCACTCAAGGATTTGGGTTTGTTTGTCTGTTTTTAATCAGAGGAGAACCATTTAGCTGTACAAAAGATAGCATTTTGAAACCACAGGTGATCTCAGGATAAAGCCTTTACCTCTCCAGCGCCAGGTGTTTAGTTGGGAAAAGTTGCCAAGAATTCTCCCTTGAGGCATCTGAAGGCATTGTCAACCTAATTATACCCAGGAGCCGCCAGAATGCCAAACATTAATTTGTTTCCTGCATCCTGGGTAAGAGGAGAGGGGGGTGCTGAGGTACAAAGGACGGAGTCACTAATGCTTTGTGGGAGGCTGCAGTGATGTCTTCCCACTGGGATGGCCATGGATGCCTCCAGCTGGAAGAGACTCTTCAAAGATCAATTTGCCCATCCCCTGTTTTCCTGTGCGCCCGGAAGAGGTTCCTTAGCCTTTTTTTTTTTTTTTTTTTTTTTGTGGCTATGCCCATCACCCCACAGGATGGATGCAGACACCAGATGTTCCTCTGATGCACTTGAGCCCCCACGAGGCGGTCTGGGCAGTACACTGTGTAGGGTGGTGTCCAGCCACCATGGCTGCCTAATGACCTCAGGAAGATTGATTACCTAGGCAAACTTCACAATCATAGACTCCTCTCCAAGGTGAGGGCTCGTGGGGGAGAGAAGGCCAGGATGTCACTTGGCCTCCCGTTTTGTTTTGTCTGGCTCTGGAAGTAATCCAGCCCTGGACAGACCCAGACACACCACATCCATTTGTATAGAGAGGGCTATTTTCAGCAACACAGTAAAATATGCTTGAAGCTACCCCATGCTGAGGCTAGAGACTGTCCCTCTCCTGCTGCTCCCTGACCTATGTATGCATTCTGGTTTCTTTCTTTTTTTAATAAATTCTTTTTTTTTTTTAAGTTTATTTTTGAGAGAGACAGAGACAGTCTGAGCAGGGGAGGGGCAGAGAGAGAGAGAGAGAGAGAGAGGGATCGAGAGAATCCCAAGCAGGCTCTGAGCTGTCAGCACAGAGCCTAGTGTGGGGATCGAACTCATGAAACCATGAGATCATGACCTGAGCCGAAACCAAGAGTCACCCATGTGCCCCTTGGTTTCTTTCTCTTGCAACACGATAATTTCCACTGGAGGAACTGCCAGCTGCCTTCCCATTACCCTTCCACAGCTATCCCTTGCTTCTACTCTTTCTCCCCCTCACTATTATGCATTAAGTTCTTACCAATTAGACTTATCCCTCAAACGAATGATTACCACTCGATTTAATTACTGCATGCTTGCCTGATTACACAGGAGCCTCTTGAGAATCACACAAAATTCCTTGTTGCTGCCTCCTCTTCCCCTCACTAGCCACATTTATAAAACTAAATTCATTATGATATATTTGCCTTGGTTTGATTCCTCCTCTGGTGAGAGGGTTAGAAGCTTTGCAAAGCAGAATCACCAGCCAAGAAACGCTGCAGTTATACAAATGCAGGTTTTTTTAGTTCCTTTTGGGACATGAAAAAAAAAAAGGTATGTGTTTGGTCTGACCTGTTTTAGCTGTTTCCTAAGAATTTCCAGGGTTTCTGGCCACCACACAACATTTCTCTAGATTAAAGGAATGGATTTATTTAGCGGAGCAAAGAAAAGGGGATACACAGATTTGCTGTCAGAATTCAAAATTAGGAAGGACAGTTTTATGAAGAGTGCCACTTAGCTGCTTCCCAGGTCCATCAGGGCCGAGGGGGACAATTGGCTGAAAGGACAAGAGGGATTTAGGTTGGCTCTCAAGACTATGGATGAGATGCTAATGGCATCATTATTGTCACCGGGACTGGAGACACAGATGGACTGTTGACCTCCCTTTCCCAGCAGTCTTTGTGAATGGTGCTGTTCCCTCTAGACTGTTCAGTAGCCCTGTGGAGACAGGGGAGAGATGAGATGTGCTCTGGCCATTCCTCCCTGCCTCCAAAAGTGCATCCGTGTGACTTAAGGAGCAGGACAAAGCCTGTCGAGTCCCAAGGGCAGTGAGGGCTCCTGCCCACAGGTGGAGAAAGTGAGGGGAGACTGGGGCAGAGCCAGATGGGATGGGGGTTGTTCATCATTCCCTCCTGCTCCCCCACCTTCCTTTCCAGCTGGAAGGCCAGTGCACCACCCTGCAAAATGATGAGCATGAAACCAAGGCTGAGAACACCAAGCTGAGAGTCACAAACCAGGAGCTGGCCCGGGAACTGGAGCGGACCTCCCAGGAGCTGCAGGATGCCCGGAAACAGCTGGAGAGCCTCCAGCAAGAGGCCCACCAACTCCACCAGGAGAAGGAGATGTGAGTCTGGCCCTCGTGGGTTCCTGTCCCTGCTGTCCAGCCTCACCCCCTGCTGTGAGCATGACATCATCTCCTCCCTTGGAGACCCTGTCGCCTTGCCTAGAACGTGGGGCTCAGGGGCTCCTTGGTCCCTGAAATCTCTTCTAGGATCCCGAGGCCATCAAGCAGACCAGCACTGTAGCAAGCAGAATCTAGGATTGACAGGAAGTCTACAACCCTGTTCTTGGGAAATATATCATGTGATTCAAAAGATGTGTTAGCCACCCAACAAATACAGGGCGGTCACTGAGAAAAGGCTGAGTGTGTAGACAGACCACACGTGACTGTCATAGGTTAGAGACCCAGGACGAGAGTGAAGCAGGTAGGCTTCTGAGATTTAATCTGATGGAGTATATGACAGTACCCTGGAATCTTCACTGCAGTCTGCCTACTCTCTCCTACCAGTGTCCCTCTGTGTGGACACAGTGTGGTGAGCCCCACATCTCTCAGGGCCTGGTTTGCCAGTGACCTGCTCTTGGTGTGCGGCCAGTGGACTCAGCCTGCTAGGCAGAAGCACACGTAAGGAAGAATCAAGAGCTGGGTCTGCAGGCTGGGGCTGAGGAGCTGCCAACAGTCATCTTGGGAGTGTTAGGTTCTGAGAACAAATGCACTCTTTGGCGTGCCCAGGGACAGGAATCCCACTTATTTGTTCACACATTTATATTTGTTAACTTACTCATTTGTCAAAAATTTATTGCATATGGCTCTGCCCCAGGTACCATGTTGTACATTCAACATATCTCACCTATGTCAACAGTTTGACATTGTTTCATATGAACTTTACAGCATCCTGATGTGGCAGGTACTGTTATTATCAACTCTAAGTTATGGACGAGGAAGCTAAGAGTCAGAGGTTTTCAGTAACTCTCTAGCACAACACTCCGTGCTAGACACATCTTGCTGACTCCACACAGTGAATCATGAACCGGCCAGAAAATATGTACTCAGGAATGGGACTGGCCATCATTCACTCATCACTCATTCATGCATTCGTTCATTCCCTTCATTCATTCTGCAGAAGGTAACGTGTGCCTGGTCCTGTGCCAGGTATTTAAACAGTGTGATTTCAGAGGAAAGGTCAGTATTACTTACCAGTGCCTGAGTGTTACATACGTTAACTGTCCTTGTTCAAAAGGGAAAGCCCTCACTCCGTCTGAATGATGGCAAAATTTGGGTCCATTGGCCTAAATCAAATTGTTCTGCTGTCTGTCCTGTGTGTGCTGTCCTGTACTGTTTTGGACTGATTTGCCAGGGTGAAAGAGAGGAAATGTGTTTGCATGTGGAGTTTTACCCTAAAAAGACTTCTCTAGTTTTTTTATTTATTGATTGATTTTATTTTTTTTTAATGTTTATTTATTTTTGAGAGACAGAGACAGAGAATGAGCAGGGTAGGGGCAGAGAGAGGAGACACAGAATCTGAAGCAGGCTTCAGGCTCTGAGCTGTCAGCACAGAGCCCGGCGTGGGACTCGAACTCACAAACTGTGAGATCATGCCCTGAGCCAAAGTCGGATGCTTAATGGACTGAGCCACCCAGGTGCCCCAAGATTTCTCCAGTTAAAAAGAAAATGTATTCTGAGCAGCTGACTTAAGACAAACCCCTTCACTCTAATTCTTGGGTGACCAGGGGAGGACAGTGTATTTCATTGTAAATGAGCAAAATCAGTTCCTCCTCATTGAGAGCAGGCCAACAAGGCACAGGCATTTAACTTTACAAACAGAATTAAGGACTCAGGCTCTTAAAATTGAATCAAATTTTAAAACAACAAACATCTGAAGGCACCAGCATTAGAACAGCAAATGGAAGTAAGCACCCAGTGCCAGGGTATCAAATCACAGCATGAGGATTAAAATCTTTCTGAAGTCTTATCTTAATTAACCAAGCCAGAGACAATCTCTGGAGGCTGGGAACTGAAAAAGAGGGTCAGGAGGAAGAGATAAATGATTTCAGGAACTTCATGACTTGTTTTCAAAAAGCGCACAATGCCTTATGCAGCTGGAAAGCATGCTGGAGCCCAGGAGAGTGTGTCCTGTCTGGGGAGGTCAGGAGAGAGGGCAGTGAGAGCCTTAGCTGGTTCCCTGTAGAACAGAGTCCCAGATCTGCAGTACTGATAGCAGGTGAGTGCTCTAATCCACCTCTTCATTTTATAAATGAAGAACCTGAGGCTCAGAGAGATGCAGTGACACAAAGCCACACAGCTAGCTAGTGCCAGAAAACAGGGACAGAGCCGAGTTCTCCCCATATCATGTGCTTCCCCCCTCAACTCACAATGTCTTGCTGTCTGATGCTGCACCAGAGCATCTGGGAAAGGAGAGGACGGTACTGGGAGATAAAAAGACTTAGTCACTTATCAGCTAGAATTCTAAATGGGCAAAATTAATTTTTCTGTTCTCCAAAGATGCTCAAGGAGGGAGAACTTGATTTTAAAATAAGATAAAGAAAGAACAATCAAGCAGGAGAGATAACATAAAGATGAAGGTCAGCTGGAAAGCAGCACCTGTTTATTTTGTTAATGAATTTTTATTTGGGGTGGGTAGTTTATGATGAGACACAAAAGGATCTATACTCAGCAAGAGGTCTGCAAAGACCCAGAGGCCACCCCTCAGGGTTTCTTGTGGATCCTTCCAGAGTGTTCTATGCATATACAAGCACACACACACTTTTCATTTACACACTGTTCTGCATTTGCCTGTGTTTTCACTTGGCGATATATTTTGGAGATGCTCCCTCTCTCATCCCTCTCCAGAAAATAAAGCCAACAGCAGTTCCCTAAAGACAGCCATAAACCTGTCACCAGTCACTCCTATGAAAAATGGTAATTTCTTTCTCTTTCAGTCCACATAGTACCAAGTACAGACCTTTAGAATGTCTAGGTTAGATGCCTTCCTTTTTGTGAACACAGAAAAAGTCTGACAATGTGTGTGTATCTAAATAGATGCATGTTTATTAGACAAATAGGTAGACATATTTCATCAATATGTAGTGTGTGTGTGTGTGTGTGTGTGTGTGTGTGTGTGTGTGTGTGTGGCTCCAGCAGTCAACTCTGTTGTGTCTACAGTGCAAAGACCTGGAATGCCTTATTTCTTAGGAATCGCTCCTAAATCAAATGTTCTGTGAGAACACAGATGTCAGGTGTCCAGGGAGTGATTTCCCTTAGCAGGGGTAGAGTCGTCTGCTCCTGGTTGAGAATCAGAACCCAGGGCTGGGACAGAGGATCCACAAAGCCATCGTGGCTCACAGGGCACCGCAGCAGCAAACAGCTGTGCTCACATACTGCTCATCACAGCAGAATCCTAGACAGGGATTTGGGGACCCGGTTTGGATAATGGGAAATACATTGTTTTCCCTCAAGTTGAAATTAAATATAATTGGTAATAAAGTGTTAGGAATTGGCATCTCTGCAGGAGCTAGAGAAGTTTTATTGCTTAATTAGGATTGTCTGAGGTGAACTTAGAATTTGATTCGGTCTGTTATTGTTGTAAATTGACTTTATAATTATTCCATAAAGGGGGAAGAACCACACAGATACCTTTTAAGGAATCTATTGTGAGGTGGGCTCAAGCCTTATGGACTGAGCAAGCAGGTGCTGTTTTCGCCAACTCAGTAATGGCATTGAGGGTGCGGCAGAGGGGTGACTGTCTCCGCCCAGCCCGGTGTGTGCACAATCGGGGTAGTCTGGACAGCCTATGGAAATGGACGCATTTTGTGAGACTATAAGATGCTCCCTACACTAGCAACTATGCTGTGGTTTGGAAATGTGGAACTTTGGGCCTTTTGCAGTAACCTTAGGGGTGATTTAAACATTTCTAAAAGCACAGTGCAGAGCCCAGAGGGAAGGATGGAGGCAAAGTTGCGAAGTTCAGCAAGGCTTATTTTCCAGTGTCACCCAATTCTGCTTTCCTTTTTTTTCTTTCTTCCCCGGGTGGTGTTGAATACCTCCCCGACTCACCCCTCCCTTCCTCTCTTTCTTCCTCCATCCCTGCCTCCTTCTTTCATCCCCCACTCTCTGCCCTCTCTCCTTTTGTTTCTTACTACTATTCGTTTGTTGTTGTTGTTGTTGTTGTTGTTTATGTATTTATTTTGAAAGAAAGAGAGCATGAAGAGTGCACAAGCGAGGGAGGGGCAGAGAGGGGGACAGAGAATCCCAAGCAGGCTCCAGGCTCCAAGCTGTCAGTATGGAGCCTGATATAGGGCTTGAACCCACGAACTGTGAGATCATGACCTGAGCTGAAACGAAGAGTTGGACGCTTAACCAACTGAGCCACCCAGGGTCCCCTGTTTCTTACTGCTTTTTGTTGACGACACCTTCATGCTGGGCACTGGGTTGCATTTAGAGATGCAGACAAACCAGGCAATTCCTACCTCACCATCTGAGTTGGTCTCCAGACACCTCCACTACCTCTCAGCTCCTCCCTCCCCTTACTCAAAGGATGATTGACATGATTGATGTGTTCACACTGTGATCTAAGTATCTGATTATAATTGATACATTTGATCTCTGCTTTATGGCTAGAGATGAGAACTCCTAAGTTAAAGAAATGAATGACCAACAGAGGAAATTACAGAGATCTAAGAACAGATTGGAGACTTATAGGGGAGGATGGGGAAGGGGAAAGGATTCTTCTGGAACTCCTGGAAACAAAGGAAACCAGCTACAGGAAAAATACAAGTTCTGCTCTCACTTGCAGGATTGGGCTGGAGAGTATTGGTTCTGGGTAGGACAGGGTCACCTAGAGCCTGGGAAGGCCAAGTGATTATTATGAAGCCCTGTTCATGGGTTTGGGAGTAGGGGGTCCTAATCTACTCAGTCGTGGATTGTCTATGGGACACGGGGAGAGTTACTGGTTCTCTGTCTGTGTCTATAAAATAGGGGTAATCTCACCTTCCAAATCGGGAGTCTGTGATGATGAAGTGAGATCATAGCTGTAACCACCTGCACACAGCAGGTGCTCATCAGGGGAGGCATATCCCTCTGACCCCAGGGTGGGGTGCTACCTGCTGGTCCTACCCAGGACCAACTACAACAGGACCAACTACAACACAGCCCCTCACACCGTGGTGGCTTAAATCCCTGCTATAGAAGCTCATAAGTCTGTGTTGGCCTCTTCTTCAGGGAAGTGTACCGTGTGACGGAGAGCCTGCAGCGTGAGAAGTTGGGGCTTCTGAAACAGCTGGATCTCCTGAGGTGTGTCAGCATCAGATGTGTTCTGAGAGCATATCCCACATTCCTTGGGTTGGAAGAGCCAGGCTGAAAGTCTTCCCTGCCTACATTCTGGATGATCACAGCTGCTGAGAGAGTGCCCTCATTCCCCTGATCCCCAGCATATTATGTTTGGTCCCTTCACACACACGCCCACATCCCTCTCCAGTTTGCACATCTGCAGGTAGGCTCTGCCTCATTCTTTGTGGCATCTCCCACAGCACCTTATGTGGTACTTGCTCAGGTAGGAGCAGAACTGAATTTCTTGAGCATCTACCCAGTGGAAGATATAGTATCCCTTTCTCTTTAAAAAAAAAAAATTGATGTTTATTTTTGAGGGAGAGAGAACGCAAGCTGGGGAGAGGCAGAGAGAAAGGGAGACAGAGAATCAAGTAGGCTCCACATGTGGGGCTCAAACCCATGACCTTGAGATCATGATCTAAGCCGAAGTCAAGACGCTCAACCAACTGAGCCACCCAGGTGCCCCTGGGATGCCTTTCATCTTCAACAAAACTAAAGAAAGAAGGGCAGTTCCTGATAGGGGAATTAACAGAGAAGGAAAATGATAGCAGAGAAGTGAAGCAATTTACCAAAGGAGACAGACACTCACTTCGGGAGTCAGACTTGAGATCTGTATCTGGCTGATTCTCTTGATTCTGCCATAGTCTCCTAATGTCTGTTGAATGAGCAAATGAGTCACAAACAGAGCATAAGCAGAGCAAAGGAGTTTAGAGTTTCCTCCACTTGCTACAACTTACTGTAAATTCAAAGCTCATTGGTCTGGAATGTGCCAAAACCAAACCCAAAACAAAACCTGCGTGTGGAAAGATGGGATTTTCACTTTTGCATGTGAGGTTTCCAAGTTACAGTACCTTCTGTCTGCCAAACACCTCTTGGGAATGGTGATGGGGCACGAGCACTTTGGGTTCTGCTTTTTATTTTTGTTTAAGCTTATTCATCTATTTTGAGAGAGAAAGAGTGCTGGAGGGAGAGAGAGAGAGAGAGAGAGAAGAATCCCAAGCAGGCTCCACGCTGTCCGCACAGAGCCCAATGTGGAGCTCGAACTCACAAACCATGAGATCATGACCTGAGCCAAAATCAAGAGTCGTCCGCTTAACCGACTGAGCCACCCAGGCTCCCCAGGTTCTGGTTTTTAGAGTGCAGTTGTCTTAAATCAGGTACACTCTGACTTGTTTTGTTTTATTTGAAAGCAAGGTGAGGTCACCGTGTCTGGCATCTGTGATGCTACCAAATTGAAAAGTGCTCAGAACTGAATGCATTTCAGATTTATTTCCCTCAATACATGATTCAAACAGGACTGCAAAGGCTGGGGAGATGGAAGGGGGTTCTGACATGACCAAGTTCTAATCCATTTGAGAGCAGGTCTTGAATCTTAGAAGGCTTTAGTGAAAAGAAGAGAACAGGGTGTACAAGGACAAATTTTGATTTTTCCCCCTTTTTTCTGTTGTACTTAGAAGAAAAGGACAGATTCAAAGCGAATGAGCAGAGGAGAATGACAAGGCAGATCTCTACAAACGCATGGGTCTTTTTGATGGAGACTGGCATTTGTGCAGAATTACATGCCCAAAGTCTTTCTGTGCTATCACATGCATACAAGCTTAGATTCTGCAGCAGGTCAAAGTCCATCCGTAGCGAGGAAGGCCCCCATGGCAGATTTTTCCTCCACAGTGAAATCATCAGGTAGTGACAGACAGCAGTGGGGAAATGGGAATCAAGGACAGAGATAATGCCGAGGCAAGGGATATCAAGTTGGAAGTTGGGGGGGAGGATGGGGGTCTGCCCCCATCATGGCAATGGCTGGGATATGACAGTGTGAGGAAGGGACTGCCCTCCTAGGGGCAAGTAGCAGCAAAAGGAAACAATTTCAGGGGACTCAGTTGGGAACATGGACTTTGGGGCCGGATCTGGGTCAAGACCCAGCACTACCCTTATTACTTTGTGTGACCTTGGGCAATTGACTTAACCAGATGGAATGTTCGTTTTCTCATGCCTGCCTCACAGGCTTCTCTTGAGAGTGAGATGATATATATATGAGTGACCATCACGACAGGGCATTAGTGTGAATTAAGGTGGACATTTATTTAGAGGGTGTAGCATCTCTTTGACTGCCGAAGCTTCTGCCTGGAGACGACTGCACAAAGCAGGAAACACCACAGCGAACTCCCTGATGGAGATTCCGGGGCCCCCATGTCCTCACCCGGGTGCAAGGCTGCTAACCTCTCTGCCAGCATAGAGCGAGGGGCCTTCTGGAAGGAAACTCTCCCTTTGCCATTCTCAGGCTTTGCTACTATCATGGAGACAGGCAGAACTGTCACATGAGCATGTCCCCTGTGCCCATCCATGCCTACCTCCTGCCTTCTCTGTTGTGGTGGCTGAATGCCCCATGTGCCTGGCTCTCCCAAATGTGCACTAGAATGAGACCTTCCTCAAGGGCTGGTCCAGTGGGTATTGTCTCTCCTCCATGGCTGGTTGTTTCTCTTTTGGGGAGACCAACCAATGTCCTATAGCATTTCTTACCCAGCAGCTCCTGTCACCACTTAGGCATCCAGCTACTTTGCATTTCTTTAATGGCTTTCAAAACCTTTCAAAAGAAGTGTTTACACTTGCATTCCATCTCCACTTCCTCTCCTCACATTCTTGACCCTCCAGTCAGGCTCCTTCTGCCTCAATTGCACTGAAAGGGGAACCAGGGACCTCCATGTTGCTTGAAAGAGTGGCCAGTTCTCAGGGTGCCACCCTTGTCTCCAGCAATGTATTCTTAGCACAGCATCTGTAGGGCTCCTTTGAAAACTTGAGTCAGATCAGGACACTCCTCTGCTACTCCCCCAACCCCCACGGCTTCATATCTCATCTGGAGTAAAATCCCAAGTTCCTACAATGGCCCACAAGACTATGAATGAGCAGGTCTCCATTTGTCCCCTCACCTTTCTCTGACCTCATTTGCTTTTTTAAAAAAATGTTTATTTATTTATTTTGATGGGGGGGAGTGGCAGAGAGAGAGGGAGAGAGAGAATTTCAAGCAGGCTCCATAGTGTCAGCACAGAGCCTGATGTGGGGCTCGAACCCACAAACTGTGAGATCATGACCTGAGCCGAGATTAAGAGTCAGACACTCAACAGACTGAGCCACCCGGGTGCCCCTCTGACTTCATTTCCTAGCGGCTCTCCTCTGAGCACTCTGATGCCCTCCTCTGTGTTCCTTGCACACCCCTGTTTGAGCCTGACTCCAGGCTTAGCCTTTGCTGTCTCCACTGCCTGTGCTGCTCTTCCCTCAACTGCTGGCATAGTGCCCCTTCGCTCCTGCAAGCCTCTGCACAGATGCCCCTCCCTGACCGGCCTCCTGAAATACCACTGCACCCCTGGCACTCTTTATTCCACGTCCCTGCTTTATCTTTCTTGAGAGCAATGAACCCTGCACTAAAACACCAATTCCCCAAGGACAGAAACTTTTTCTTTTATCTATTTGTGTAAACCTTGAGAGCTAGGACTTCACTTAGCATGTAGTGGGTGCTCAGGGGACATTTGTGGGAGTACTGCATGCATGCATGAAATGAATGGTTCAGGGAGAGAGCGCGCCCAATAGCAAGCTCACAGGTGCAGCTGGAACTGCTGGTCACCCTCTGGGGGAGGCTCCCCCTAGTGGTAGGACAGACCAGTGCATGATCCTGAAGGGTGGTGGGTGTCACAGTCATTCTATGTCCCCCCACCCCTGCCTCCAACTGATTTACACACAAACTACCCTCCATCACCCCCCCCCCCTTAGGAAAGAGATTCCACGCGCTCCCTGGGCCTTCCACATAAAGCCTTTCTCTGCACTCCTCTCACTGGCAAAGTGGCTGCTCTTGGATTTCTCAACTGCAAATACCATGTCTAAATAGATTCCCCTTTTCTGTTTGCAGGGAAAGGAACAAGCACCTTCGGGATGAACGGGACATCTGTTTTCAGGTAATTGCCCTGTGTTCCCTTTCCCGATGGGGTTTGGGTCCCCTGGCCGCCAGAGACCATGCTGGGACAGGCCCAAGAATGTCCTTGCAGTCTGGCTCACCCTTTCTGTAGAAGCAGAAAATGGCATGGATTTTTTGAAAATAATAAAAAATTCGAGGGGGCCTTCTGAGTAGCAGTGTGTTAGTTTTCCGTGAAGTAACACACTTTCTTCTTGGCATGAAGAGACTACGATGCTTGGGAGGGTCACAGATTTCTTGGACATGGACATGGTAGCTCCATCCAGGAGGCGGTGCAGTTGAAATGTCATGATCACTTTTAACCAAAACACTCACAAGGTTTTTTTTCCTTCATTAAAATTTTTATCATTTGATGAAATTTGCATTTTTCCACAATCATGGAACAAATTAAAAATGTACATTTGACTATTAACATAGCTGATTTTAAGTACCCATTTTTTTATCCTGTGGGGACCCTGCTCCTCCAGAACTGAGCTCTACAGTACACACTTTCCCTAATAGCACAGAATCCTATATTTATTTACAGGTCATCATTTTGAGCCACATTAAACAAAATCCAGGATTCCGTGTTCTCCTACTCATCTTCCCCTTTAGATAGGAGTCATTGGATGCTCTGAAGGGAAGGAAAAAGAGGGAACAATTCATTGATGCAATGTTCTAATGATCAGGATTTATCACACCATGAATTTCTCATATGTCCCTGGGCAAGTCATTAATTTCCTTGAACCATGACCCCAACTATCACATGAGGAAAGGGAATGCCTATCCTTTTTTCCATATGATAGATACTTTTGAGGGAAAAAAAAAAAAAAACTCTTGGAAAGAGGAGGGTCATATGCTGTGGGCCCTTAGCTGGACAGTGGCCTAAATGTGGTCAGCACAAGGCAGCCGGTTTGCAGTGAATTAGGTCCGACCTGGTTTATAACTGCAAATCCCTGGGGGACCTGGTTACACCACTGTATCTTTTCTGTCACTGACTGGCAGCAAACTTCTCTACCGCCTACCTCTGTGTACTATTCGAGCAAGGCTTAAGCCTGCACATGTTTGTTTGAGGATGATAATGGTTATAATTGTTTTAGAAGTAACACTGAATTTATTATGAAACTTCCAACCAAATGTCCCCCTAATCCTTTGACCTCACGTCCCTCCACCTGCCAAACTCATTTTGCTTTGAAAAGGGAATGGAATTAACAACCCCTAGCGGGGAATAGAAAAAAGAGGGATAAAATCACGTTCATGCTGAATAATAATTAAAGATTAATTTGGAATCATTATAGCCATACCTTCAGGGACCCTGGGAGCACTGCAGCCCCTCCTTCTCTCATTAAGAATCACTGGAAATCGTGGGGATGGTTGATGAGAGATTCTTCCTTGTGATCGAACTCCCCCTCATGTTCTGGAAGACATTTGCTGGGGAGAATTGCCAACAGGGTTGCAAGCCCTGACTCCTCCCCTCCCCCACAAGGGCGCTGGGCTAATCGATCCTCTGGGCCAGTCCCTTTCTCATTCCTGGGGCTTTGGAAGTAAAGAGTTAGAGGCACACAGATGAGTGTGATTTAAAGATGCACAGACATTTCCACGCGTAAATATTTTCCTATGCATTCCACATTATCTCTTCTTATTGTCATCTTGCAAACTGTTAGTACTCCTGTGAAGGGTAACAAGGTGGACCCCAGGCTCTAAACTGTGTATAGATTCATTCCCTTAGATTTTGGGTGGGAGATGGAGGGATCCTGGCAAGAGACAATAACAAAAGGAAAGAGTGGGTGAATGTTAACAGGGAGCATGTGAACATTGTGTCTTACTTCAGAAATTTGTTTAGAGCCTGACCTGTGAGGTGGGAAAGTTGAGCCCTTTCTGCTCAAATATTGGGACATATCAGCAGGCATGGATCTGAGGGCATTCTGTGTTTCTGCAGAAAGATAAGGCAGCCAAGGCAAACACAGCTGCTTCCAAGGCAAACTGGAAACAGAGATCTGGCTCTGTGATAGGCAAATATATGGATGGCAGAGGGATTCTTAGGAGGTAAGTTATCCTGTATTTCTTCATTCATTATGTGTTCATTTGTCTTGCACTCCTCTAGAGCTGGCTCTGAGCCCGTTGTTTCTCAAGGAGTGGCCCTGGGTGAGGAAGCCTGGAATCCCTTTCACTCATTCCCCTTGAATCTTGGAGGACGTGTTCCTTCCTTACCCTACATCCAAGTGGGAGGAGGACTGTGCAGAGCAGGTCCCTAGGACAGGACATCATCTTCTGGGGCTGCCCCACCCTGGTGTGTGTCTACAGAAAGGAGCTGAAGAGACGCTGTAGATCAGTGGAGGAAAGAGAGAGAGGACGAGAGGGGTCGAGCAGGAGAGATGAAGCGTGGCTGTAGGTACTGTGCTCTCTGTTGAGTAGGCTGAATGCACTTGGTTTTTCAAGGACATGACTATTTGGACTCTGAAGGGAAATTAAAGTGTGGTATGGAGTCTCCAATAGTTGAACTCCTTTATAAGCAGGAATAGGGCCTGCGCTTGACAGATTCCTTTCAATGACTCATATTTAATTACCTCAAAGATAACATTTTTTGTGGTTGTTAGACAGCACATTATTGAGTTGGAGTCCCCAAAGGGGTGGCTCATTGCCCATTGAAAGAGGCAAGCCAGTCCTCTGCCCTCTCTTCTTTTTTGACATGTTGCTCCATCCACATAAAGGCCACATAAAGGTAGAGGCAACCAGACCCCTAAGTATGAAAGCCAGGGAAAAAGTGAATAGATTTGCTTATCCAGGAGACCCTGAGGACAGCAAGTATGAAATCACAATACAAAAAGGGGAAGTGACTCTGGAGATGTTGATGAGCTCATCAGTCAAGGCTTGGACCCAGTCATCCTGAATTCCTTTTCTAAATAGCTCAGAGAGGGATACAGTTGGGGATCCAAGTTTCTGCAATAAGAGTTGGCCTTTCACCAACTCAGCATTGAATATATTCATTCAACAAACATTCACCGATGGCTTACTTTGTACCAGACATTGTTTTGAGTTCTGTGAAGATCCAAAAATAAGCTAAACATGAGTCCTGCCGTAAAATCCATTATTGAGTGCCTCCTATGTGCAAGATATTATGCTATGTGCGAAGTATACAGTGGTGAGCAAAATAGACCCTATCTTTGCTCTCATGGAGCTTATGGTTGAGTAAAGGAAACAGGCAATCAAGTAAATAACAAATTGTGCACCATCAGTTCCAATACAGACTTTGGCAGAAGCCACTGCTCTCTGCTGCTGGTACATAGCCTTTGGTGACAAAACCAAAAATGAACACAGTCGTGCTAAGCCAAGGGTATTACAGAGTGTCAATAGTGCTCGAGAATTTTCCAAATCAAAAGCTTTTTTCAAAAAAATGCTTCATTTTAGGGCTGTTGCGGTGGCCATTTTTTTCCTGGCTGCAAGGCCTTTAAAAAATATGCTGCATGTGTATTTGCACACTTGCTCACATGTGCACACATGTACATACTTGGGTGGAAGCAGAGTGAAAGTGAATGGGAATACTAATTGTGTTCTAAAGTGGATAAGCAGTCAGTAGGGTTGATAGACTAGAGAAGAAATTTGTTGGAGAGAGGACAGTCAGCTTCTATTAAAAACTATGATTTTATAAATAACTGGAAAAGTCCCTGAATTGCTATAAAGTTCTCTATTTTATATCAAGGGAACCAAATTAAGTCACCATTTTTGTGAGCAAGCCTTCTCTCTTAATTTATCTTTTGGAGTTGTACTTAACTTTGGGACAATGATACATGCAGTTTTTCCTTTTTCCTTCCTATTACTGGTCCTTAGGAATAATAAATATTATAAGCTGAAGACAGGGGGGAAATGAAGGGAGCTTCACTGTTCTGCATACTCTGTCTGTGACCTTCCCCCCTGCCTTCTTTCTCCATTGGCCCTGTCACTTCCTTACCTCATTCACATTCTGTTTTCTTTTCTAATCATTGCATATTTGTGTGCATGTGTGTGGACGTGCATGTGTGTTTCAGTTTTGGACTCAAAATTCTCCCTGTCAAACTTCCATTTAAAACACTTCCCAGCTTTAATTGTTCACAGAGACCCGAGCTCCTGTGCCAGGAAGGGTCTGTGAGGCCTTTGCTGTCAAAACCTTCTGAAAATACAGCCTGTGCTTTCATTCTACATCTGGTTGACCAGTTCCCTCCTTTCACTTCCTGCTGCTTTTCCTTATTCTTGATGCTCAGATGCTTCTGGGAGCAAATATGCATGTAGACCTCTGAGGCCACTTACTCTTCACTCTGACTTCCAGGGACACTGAAAGAGAAAAAGAAAGGTAGAAAAAGCAGGTAGAGGTGCCCTGTCTGGCTTGCTTCCAACCCCAAGCCCATCCCCAAGTGAGCAGCTTCTTTGGAGCCAGTGGACGTCCATCCTGTGGTGGGGGCTTCTCCCAGAGCAGCAGTACCCCTCACTCACATTGCCAAGGGCTGTTTTGTGAACATGTCTACTTATGCATTGTCTTATTTGTGAGATAGGCAGGGAAGATGAGCCACATTTTATGCTGAGGAAACTGAGATTTGGAAGGGTGGAAGTGTCTTACCTAGTGGCATAGTCAGTAAGGGCTGGTATGGGACCACAGCCAAGGCCACCTGATTGTTAATTGTGGATACTTTATTTCCAGATCTTTTTTTAAATGTTTTATTTATTTTTGAGAGAGCACAAGTTGGGGAAGGGCAAAGAGAGGGAGACAGAGGATCTGAAGTGGGCTTTTCACGGATAGCAGTGAACCCCAATGTGGGGCTTGAACTCACAAACCATGAGATCATGACCTGAGCCGAAGTCAAACGCTCCACCAACTAAGCCATCCAGGTGCCCCTGTCTCCTTTCCTCACACCCTCACTCCACCTTTTAAGCACTTCCCACAGCTTGTCGAAGTATATTTAGTTGTGCCATTATTGCTTCCACTCCCCACTACGCTGAGCATTCCAGGAGGACATGTCCACCTGTGTGTGACTATGTCATTAGCTAAATATCTGGTGGTAATCATCATCACCACCACCTTCATCATCTTCATCACCACTACCATCACCACCGCCTTCATGATTGCCATCATCATCAACATCACCACCATCTTTATCATCATCATCACCACAACCTTCATCATCACACCATCAACATCATCATGATCATCACCAATGCCTTCATCATCTTCATCACCACCACTTTCATCATTATCACCACTACCTTCATCATCATAACACCACCTTCATCATCTTCAACACCACCATCCTCACCACCACCTTCATCATCATCATCACTACCACCTTCATCATCACCATCACCTTCATCATCATCACCACCACTTTGTCATTTTTATATTCACTAAGCACTTCCATAAGTGTGTTGGGTGAATGAGCCCAAGAATGCAGGGTCTTGTTTTTTCCTTTCCTGGAGCTCTCTGCCCCCAAGGCGTGATGCTCTTCAGTTACTTGTTTGTCACAGAGCTTTCAAGACATCTTGCTTGTCAAAGAGCTATGAGACATCTCTCTGGTTTCAATATTGATATATTTTGTGCTATTCTCCCCATTTCTCTTCCCTTCCCTATCCAAAAATAGCCAGTCAGAGGAGGAAGAAGATGTATTTGGCTTCTCGAGAAGGAGAAGCTCCCTGGGCCTGAGTGGATATCCCCTTCCAGAAGAGGAGCCAGGACCTGGGGGTCCACTCACCCGGGCATTCCGCAGAATCATCTCTATTGAAGAAGACCCCTTGCCCCAGCTCCTGGATGGTGGCTTTGAGCAGCCACTGAGCAAATGCCCAGAAGAGGAAAAGGTCTCCCAACAGAGGGCGGAAAGACAAAGCCAACAGGCCAGACCTTTGGAACGCATGCCTACATCTCCTCGAGGGCAACCTATTGGAAAAGAAGACCTGTCTAAGGTAAGGGCACATCCTATATTGGTCCATAGATGTCTTTGTCACCTCTATACCTGTCATTTGCATTTGAGCCCAAGAGCCGCAAAAGCAGCGTGGGAAGTCAGGTTCAGCTTGGGAAGTCAGGTGCAGCTAGTTTTATGAATCATCATATTTGTGTCCTTCTGATACCAGCTTGCCCTGCTGAACTGAGTGTCACTGGGGAGACTCAGGGGTCCTGGTAAATACTCTATAACTTCTGTTGTTTTCCCCACTCCCTATGTTCTCATTTCTGATTCAGATTCAGAAGCATTTACTGAGTAGCTACTTTAGACAAACAATCTGCTTGGCTCTTAGCATAAAATTATCACATACTTTTGAAATTACACATCCTCTCTCACATTCTGTGACTGTTCCCAACAGGGGCAATCATTGCTCTGCAAAGTTTGTGTACCATCATTTTTCTCTCAGTTCCTCATCAGCTAATCATGGTTTCATTCCCAAATGCCCTTCCCATGCCTCCCTTTGGGGTGACCCTCTGTTCCCACATCCCTCCTGCACTTCCTACCAGGTATTCCTGCTAAATCTTGTGGGAGAAGTAGGCCATATTAACCATCTTCCTCTGGTTCATGGTGATGATGTTCCTCACCTTGTTGGTGATCCAGGCCCATGAATAGACTCCTCAAGCCCTTTCACCTCCCACTTGACCCTCTAAAAGGCTATAGAAATGTCCACGACAATGTGAAAGAGGCTCCCCCCGTCCACTGGGGCAGCCCTTTAGACCTGAGCCCTTACCACTGGAGCATTTTCAAATGGCTGTGTTAGCATATATGACAGGAAACCTTTCTGACCACTGCAGGGACCTGTCGGCATCATTGTCATTCTTGGGCCTGGCTTAACATTCATGCCTACGTATCCTTTCCCTGAAGGGCCCTAAGCCAGGGGAAACTGAGAACTGGATGGCACCAGTGGTGGGTAGGAGCTCCTCCTTCCTACACGCCCTTCCATGTACCCTTCATCACAGACCTACACTTGCAGGCAGGGGGCACATAGGGGTTTTAAATATCCCAAGATATACCCCCAATATAAAAGTGTTAAGAGGTCAGTAGGAGACCAGATAAAGGGAGAAACTAAGCATCCATGTGTGCTGGGCCATGTGATCCCCACAGTTGTCTGATGGGGTCCATCAGAAATGGCTTCTCCCATGTGACAGAGAGGGACACAGAAGCCCAGAAGAGTGGGGCCTGGTCTAGTCCCACAGGGACATGCGCCCAGGCTTCTCACCATGTGCTCTCCTGTCAGTGCTGGCTGCCCCAGGTGTGCCAATAGTTAGCCCAGGACAGAAACTACAGCAATGGGGAAATACGCTGTACAAGGAGGCAATAGCAGCTTCGGTGGAGGCTCTGGTCTTTAGAAGAGCACTGTGAGGCAGGCCCTCCCATGCAAGGCTGCTAAGGAATAAATTGGTACAGCCTTTCTGGAAAGCGGTTTGATAACAGGAATCAAGGACTTAAAAATTCCACATCCTACAAACTGGCACTTCTCGTCCAGCAATCTTTCCTAAGGAAATAACCAGATTCAGAAAAAGACTTAACTCAACAATGGTTATGTATATTTGTAAACACTTGAAAAAATGTCCAATGAGAGAAACATAAATTCAAGTGTATTAACTCAATAGATTACGTAGCACTGCTAAAAATAACATTTTCAAGAAACTTTAGTGATGCAGAAAAATATTTATAATTTAATATGAGAAAGTAGAATAAAATTGTATATAATATCTCAAATCTTTTTATTTTATTGTATTAAGTTTGTTTATTTTGAGAGAGCAGAAGAGAACGAGTGGGGGAGGGGCAGAGAGAGAGAGGGAGAGAGAGAATCCCAAGCAAGCTCCACACTGTCAGTGCAGAGCCCGATGCAGGGCTCAAACCCACAAACTATGAAATTGTGACCTGAGCCAAAATCAAGAGTCGGACACCTATCTGACTGAGCCACCCAGGCGCCCCAATATCTCAAATCTCTTTAAGTAAAACATATATTCATTCATCTATATGGAAAAAAGCCTGGAAGAAATGCATCCAAATACAAATAGTGACCACTTCTGGGTGGTAAGGTAGATTATGAGTAATTATTTTCTTCTCTACTTTTCTGTTTTTCCTAATTTTATTTTTTTATTATTTTTTTAATGTTTATTTATTTTTAAGAGAGAGAGAGAGAGACAGAGCACAAGTTGGGGAATGGCAGAGAGAGGGGAGACACAGAATCTGAAGCAGGCTCCAGGCTCTGGGCTGTCAGCACAGAGCCCGACGCAGGCCTCGAACTCACAAACCATGAGATCATGACCTGAGCCGAAGTTGGCCGCTTAACCAACTGAGCCACCAGGTGCCCTTGTTTTTCCTAATTTTAAAAATTAGCACGTATTACCTTTAGTTTCCTGAAGCTTATTTAAAAAAAAAAAAAAGTGCTAGGAAGGAGAATGAGAACAGGTCTTTCTCTAGCCCTGGCACCCCAGTCTGGTTGCCTCACTGCAGACTGCCCCCCAGAGGGGACACAGGTTACATGAGTAAACATGACTAGGAGTTCCCTGCACCCATCAACTGGGTCCTGCCTAGAGCTGGACCATCAGTATGTTGACCTTCTTTGGCCTACAAAAAAATGTGCTCTTCTTGGAGTAGGGCCAGCACAGCATCTGCAGCCGGAACCTCCTTCTCTTGCCCTAGGCCTCACATTCCCCACCTGTCGCTGTGCCTAGGGATACACAGACTGTTGCACTGAGCTGTAGTCTCAAATAGATGACAGTTGGAGGCAGAGAGGCTGAGCAGAGACCATCAGGTTGGATGCCCTTCTGCATTACAAGAATAAAGAAAACAGGGCAGAGAGCATAGTTTATGAGTGTGCGGTTTTTTAAAGGTTTAGTTTAAACTCCTGTAATTGACCTTGAATTCCCTCCTAAGTACTACATGGAATTGATTTCTCCCCAAAAGGCTGTTAATGGCTTTTCTCTGAGACTCAAGTTCTGCTAATATCTGCTGTCACTCCATTATAGTATTTGCTCAATGAGAGGAGCTAATTCCCCCAAATCCGCTTCTAAATAGATTCAAAAGAGCCTCCTGGCTTGGGCAGGCGGTGCTGGGCCCAGAGGCAGGATTTGGACGAGCACACAAGCAGCTCAATGGAAGGGAGGATCATGCAGCCGAGAGGACTTTGTGCCAGAAGGCGGCTCCTTACTCTGCTGCTCCTGGCAGTCCTGGAGCAAGTCCATTCCCCACTGGGCTCTAGCATCCCAGACTAAAGAGCAGGCCGGCTCCCAGTCTATCTCCCTACTGCTGCTGGGCACAGGAGAAGGAGTACAGTGACTGTTTGGCTCTCGAAAGCTCTGTCCGGTGGCCTGGCATTGTGGATTTCCCAACCTACTGAGTGGAGACTGTTCCCCAGGGCAGACGGGGTCCTAAACAGAAGCTGATGAGATGGACAGAAGAGTGATATGCAGGGAGGCAAGAGCGTCCTCCATTCAGTCTAGGCTTGCAATGATAGGGCAGAAATCAAGGCTCCCTAGCCCACCCCAGGCAGTCTCTGCCCCTGTGATATAGACATGCTTCCTTTTTTCTATCTCCCCCCACCCCCAGCAAACATCCCACCTGTCCTTCCCCTGCATGGAGCATCTCTGCCTCCTCTTTAAACCCCAGCTGAAAGTGTCCTCCCCTGTGGATCCTTGACTCTTCCTCTGTGCTCCTAGAGCACTCAGCAGCTTGTTTTATAATTTTTTGTTTACACGCCTGCCTCCTTCCCTCCACGGCAAACCAGGCCTGCCTCCTTGTCCCTGTGTCTTCAGGGACAACACAGGGGTCTGCAACACAGGAGGCAGACAACACATGGTTGAATGAGTGTCTCTCTTCCCTCCCACTGAAGCTAGAAGGAGCCTCTGTGCCCGGAGCCCAAAGCTACGTGCATCCAAAGCTGGAGTGCCCTCCCTCATGCTGGTCCGGGGGCAGGTCCCCACCTTCGCCTGGACACTATAGGGACAGGTCGTAGCAGGAGGAGGGGCTGGTGACTATCCTGGCGGTTGGCCAGACTGTCTGCCATCCACAGGAGGAAGCCTCTCCCTCCATCCCAGACCGGCTCTTCAAAATTGTGTTAGTGGGCAACTCGGCCGTGGGGAAGACATCTTTCCTGAGGAGGTTCTGTGAGGACCGGTTTGCCCCAGGCCTGGCAGCCACTGTAGGTGAGTTCTCGGGTCCCACTCTGGGAAGGGGACGGTATGAGAAGGGGGCCCAGGAAGGGACTGGGGGCCCAGCAGGAGTGACCATGGGGGCCTGGCGGGTAGGGAGGCCCGTGTCCGCTTGTTCCCCAGTGAGGCTAAAGGGGCAAGGTGAAGTCCACCTCCCTCACCCTGCACGGTGCTAGCTGCTGAGCTTGTTCCACATGGAGCGGAATCACAGAAGGCTTCCTCTGTCCAGCCTCAGGGGAACTGAAGTTTGCCTCATGCTCCCTCGTCTCTGAGCCCATCTATTTCTTATCTTTTTTTCTCCATTTTCAGCAGGGCCCTGAGTGTTCATGCTTTTCCTCAGGTGCACACCTGACACCACAATCCCCACCCCATCCCCCAGGGGTCAGCAGCTTCCTGCCCTGCCCTCCGGTGTGTGTGTGTGTGTGTGTGTGTGTGTGTGTGTGTCCCCACCTCCCCCAGGGGCCAGCAGCTTCTTGCCTGCCCTCCTGCGTGTGTGTGTGTGTGTGTGTGTGTGTGTGTATGTATCCCCACCTCCCCCAGGGGCCAGCAGCTTCCTGCCCTGCCCTCTGGTGTGTGTGTGTGTGTGTGTGTGTGTGTGTGTGTGTGTGTGTGTGTAGATGGGTGGAGTGGAGGACAGTGCATTGGGTGGCTTCATTTACCATCACATTTTACCCATTCTGCATCCCAGGCCTGCTGGGTGACAGCTGGGTTTCATCATTAGGCTCAGCCACTAATGGATGATCATGGCTTAATGTGTTCCCACTCCTGAGTAATATTTTATTCACATGGAGGCCTTTGCTCACTGCATTGGAATATGTGACAAGACTCAAGGGTGTACTGACCTTTTAGCTTTTGTTTGAATCACTCAAGCAAAACATAAATCCCTTAAGCACCTACTATGTACCATTTAACTGTAGTGATCAGTCAGCTGGATTTGAAAATACATTGATGTGACCTGCATAGTTAGCATGGGCTTTTATGTTCATCTCTTCAAATCTGTGTCCACACAACCCCTGTTATCAGCCCAATGGAGAGATCAGGAAACTGAGGCCCAGAGAGGTTAAGGACACTTGTCCACATCCCCTCAGCTGGTTTAGTGCTGATATTGGCCCCCTGCATATCCCTTCTAGTCCATCCCACAGTATCTCCTAACAGTATTGAGTTGTGTGTGCCCAGCACCCAGTGGGTGATGAGGACACTTCCCTGCCACGAGAGTTGGGCACACATTGATACAGGCAGGGGAGGCTGTTAAAGTTCAGTGGGACACCAGAGGACCTGGATCTTCATCCCAACTCTGCCGCTGGCTGATCAGCCGTGTGACCTCTGGAGGACATGCCCCACCTTGGGGCTTCAAGTTTTTCCTCCTGGAGGATTTGAACCAGGTCATCCAGGAAGGCTTCCAAGCCTGGTTCTCAGTGCAGACCATGTTTGACCTTTGACTGTCTGACAAGCTGGCTCTATAAGACAGACTTTCCCTGCTCCAGGGCCCTGCCTGGGGAGACTCCATTTTCTTCCCTTTCCTTCCAAAATTGTCCTGCATGTGGATCCCTTCCCACACACTTCAGGCATACTGTTCTTACGGTTGGGTCTTTTCCTATGCTGTTATCACATCTGGAACATTCTCCTGTCCCCTCCCTTCTGCCTCATTCCACCCAAAGACTGAGAGAGTCCCCAGATGAAGAATCAGGACCCTGACAGGAAGAGGGGCAGAGCCTGTGACTCAAGCCTGGAAGAGTCTGGCCTTGAGAGGCAAGTCTGGGAGTGAGCCCAGTGTGCTGCAGAAGGCAATAGCTGTGGGAGGGAAGACTCACTTTTCCAGGAGCATTCCATGGGATAGGAACCCCAGGTCAGGGCTCCAGCACAGACTCATGGGAGGCAAGAGGCAGATGCCAGCCTCTTGGGCCTCAAAGGCATCCCCCTAGGCAGTGCACACAGTGTGCCTCTCCTGTTGACGAAATCAGGGAATCAGGGTCCGTTTACATTTCCAACTTGTGCCCCTGAGCTGGAAGCCTCTGAAAAAGAAAAAACCAGACTAATTTGCACTTCCCAGGAGGCCAATTATGGAAACACCTGCAATTTAGGAACGGAAAAATATCAAAGATTCCAAATCAGGAATGCCCTTCATCACACTGCGCAGAACATGCTGGAACAGCAGCTGAAATTAGTCTCCCTGCCACATAATGTGCCTTGTTCTGGTACACTTGTCAGTAACAGATGTCATGCCAACCACCAGAAAGATGCTCCCTTTAAAGAGACAGAAAGCCCCAGAGTCCTGCCTATGGCCAAAGCAGGGAGCCTAGCCTGGGGCTCTGGCTGCCACCTGTTAAGGGCAGCAGCACCATCACAGTCAGCACAGTACTAACAGGGGCTCTACAGGTCCTTCAGTCTTACCACCACCATCAAAGGGGACTTCCGGTCTCCTACCACATCATACGAACGTGATCTGTGCTCGACTTGTGGCTTGTGCACCATGTAAGTGCTACAACACAGCAATGTGACTGGGAGCCCCCTGCCCGGGAGCACCCTTTAGGACCAGCTTTCTTCATGGGAAGGTGCTTGAGCCCTGTGGGTGTCCCGGAGATGTCAAATGATGGCTTGTGTAGAACGTTAGAGCTCACTTTGTCAATGACAAGGCTGATGAATAGAAGATAAAGCTCCATGGAAACCAGGACCCTGAGTCCTGTGCTCCTTCCACTGCCCCACATTGGCTCACAGACCCCTGCTTTAAGTCACAGGCCACAACCCAGCGTGTTTCTTCTAGAAGTTTTCCCGAACAGAATGCACTCTGCCTTTTCTTGGCCACCAGAGTCTGGTTTCCTTCCTACTCAGCATTTCTACAGAGAAATCCCCAGAGTTTTTCTCCATGACACCTTGAAGACCCTCCCCACTCCCATATCCCTCCTACTCTAAATGATGTCTGGGGCCTGTCTTGTGCAGAAGGGCTAACATCACCCTCCCTGGACTCCATCAGCCCAGCTGTAATCCATACTATCCCACGACAAGACTGGACATGATTCACAATGAACAGGGATTCCTAAGGTCCAGCTGTCATTCAGAAACCAGTTAGGTTGCAAGTTGGGGGTCACTTCCATGTGTTCATTGAATGTCACAGCTGAATTTAAAGATTATGAACATCTGGGGGCGCCTGGGTGACTCAGTTGGTTAACCATCCAACTTTGGCTCAGGTCATGATCTCACAGTTCGTGGGTTTAAGCCCTGCGTCGGTCTCCGTGCTGACAGCTCAGAACCTGGAACCTGCTTTGGGTTCTGTGTCTCCCTCTCTCTCTGTCCTTCCCCTGCTCACACACACTGTCTCTCTCTCAAAAATTAATAAACATTTAAAAAAATATTATGAACGTCTGACCTACCCCTCCATACCCTCCATCACACCTCATTTGCAGATGAGGAGTGAAACCCCAAAAATGACGTAATGCCACCAAGGTCACACAGCTCGTCAGAGGCCGAACTGAGACTAGAACATAGAACAGAGAGTTACCTCTGCTCCTGAAATATTAGAACTGGTTGTGGTCTTAGAAACCAGTTTATTCCAGGCCTTCTGGTCCCACATCATTGTACGTTGCCTCTTCTACTATTGGACTGTGACACCTTGTGTCTCCTGCCATCACCCCCAGCCTTCCCCATGGGTTTATCTGTTTCCTTGGCCTCTTTGTCTGAGGTTGCAGAAAGAAGTATGTTGTGTACCCAGAAGGGACCCTCAGCAAGCTCAGCATAGCACAGAGCCCATTTTGTCTAGCACTCCGTGGTCCACTTTGCTCCCTGCAAGACAAGCTCCCTGTCCTCTGGCAAAGAATTTAGCCATTATGGTAAAGCAGAACCATGACAGCAGCCAAGACCTAGCTGCCCCAAGCAGCACCACCTGCCACCCCCCCACCACCACCACCTGCATGCCGTTCCATTCAGGAGAAGGCTCTGTCTTCGGGGGCTTCGGACCCTCTGGCTACTTTAAGATCAGGCCCTGAAGGTGTGTTGACCATGGCTGGCTTTCTCTTGAGCAGTTATCAGGAAGCAGGAAGCTCCTTCAATCCCCTGGAACACAGACTGGGGAAGCCCTTCTACTTTGAGCTAAGAAGAAAACTCACCCTTTCAAATTCAGCCCAGCTAGTCATAATCCGTTTTGATGAGAGCATTTGGCCCTGGACTTTCTAGGTGAAATGAGGCTGCCAGGTGTCCTTGTGCACAGGGCACTGCTCCAAAAAGAAGAATGAGCCTCAGAACTGGGCTTGCAACTCGGCGGTAGCTGCTGCCCAGCTGGGCAAGCAACGGTGGACAAGGCACACCGTTGCTGGACACCTGCTTCTTCATCCCTCAATGGTGTGGGGGTGGGGAGTACACATGCACTTACCCGTGAGCATTTGCATGCAGGCGTGTGCCCGTGCATGAGTGTGTATGCATGTGCATGTGTGTACAGATGTGCATGCAGGCGTGTGCTCGTGCATTGTGCAGATAATAACCCTCATGTGAAAGACACAGGAGTGTGGTGAAGATTGAGAGATGGCATGGGAAAACTAGAAATATCAAGCATTCTACCCATGGGACAAACCACTCTTTTTTCTCTCTCAAATGCACAAACGCACTCCCTTCTCAGGGCCTCACGTGTGAAGCACAGGGACTGTAGAGTCCCTGTAGGTCTGCCATTCTAGGAATGGATGACTCTCCCGCCTTCCCGCCACTCCTGGGCCCCTCCCCAGAGCACTAGCCTGTGCCTGTAGATGTTGGCTGGAATGACCTTTTCTATTTACTGCTTCTCTGTTGTCTTTTTTGTCCCATTCTGTCCAAGATTCTGTTGCTGTCCCTTGCTGAGCCCTCCATGTTAAAGGCCTCAGAGGCTGGGCCTTTTCAAAGAGGCAGGGAATGCCCTCTGGTTCCCTGATCTGATACCATGAGGGGGAAAGACGTTTTTAAAAATGTTAAGCATTTGTGAACACTCTTTTTTTTTTATTTAATTTTTTTTACATTTATTTATTTTTGAGAGACAGAATGAGACAAAGTGAGAGTGGGGGAGGGGCAGAGAGAGAGGGAGACAAAGAATCTGAAGCAAGCTCTAGTCTCTGAGGTGTCAGCACAGAGCCCGATGTGGGGCTCAAACCCACAAACCATGAGATCATGACCTGAGCCAAAGTCTGGCGCTCAACCGACTGAGCCACCTAGGCACCCCCCTTTTTTTTTTAGAGAGAGAGCAAGAAAGGGTGAGGGGTAGGGGGAGATAGAGGGAATCATAAACAGGCTTCATGCTCAGCAAGGAGCCTGACATTGGGCTCAATCTCATGACCTTGGGACCATGACCTGAGCTAAAATCATGAGTCAGACCCTCAACAGCCTGAGCCACCCAGGCGCCCTGATTTGGGAACATTCTTACACGATGTAGGAAAGAAGAGTATGTTCTCAAAGAAGCTGCATCAAGGTCCTTATTTCTGAGGGCCACTGTAGGGGTACAGAATGCATGTCTCTGACCTTGTCTTTCTGGTCTAAGACTCTGGAGTAGGGTCCCGGCCTCAGAGAGATGATTTTGAGTGGCCCAGTGGATGGAATTAGGAGCTCTAAACCCATCTTAAGGGTGAAAGCTGCTTTTGATTCCCTACCTTACCCCTTTTCTTCTCTTCTGACCCCCAATCTGCCTACCACCTCTTCCCCTGCCCCACTCCTCCACAAAGATTTGACTGGGTGATGGAAGTCTGAAGGTATGATCCATTCCTGCAGGGATATTTGGATTTTATTAGGGGAACTTTGAAAAATATTTTAGGGAGGAGGAGAAGAAAGATATATGAGGACACTCTCCTCCTTTTCCATCTTTGCAATAGTAAATTCATGAAAAATAATGATTGTCTTTGCCTTGGTGTATTGCTTTTATACATATGTAATCTGATACTTACTATAGTATACACAAAGAGCATGTGGATTACACTACAGTGAGGAACCTACAGTCAGAGAGGTTAAGTGATTTGAGCAGTACCCCCACAGCCACCCCGCAGTGGCAGACACAGGACCAGAACTCAGGTTCCATGCTTCCCTGTCTAGTCCCCCACGTCTCCTCCCAGGAACTGCATGGGGAGGATTGTCACCCTTGGCCTCATATGCTTCCAGCTATGTGGGGGGGGGGGGGGGGGGAGGCATCTTTTTCTGATTTGGAAGTGATAGGCTCATTCCACCTTGCAGGCATCGATTACCAGGTGAAGATGGTGCATGTGGATGGCTCGTACGTGGCCCTGCAGCTGTGGGACACGGCCGGGCAGGAGAGGTGAGGAGCGTCCCTGGTCAAACCCTGCCTCCTGCATTGCCCATCACAAGGCCTGAAGGTCCAGGCAGTGGGGGGGGGGGGGGGGGGGAGCCATGCAGCCCATGACCTGTGACCCCTTGATGGCAGGTATTGCTGTATCACCCAGCAGTTCTTCAGGAAGGCCGATGGCGTCATCGTCATGTATGATCTCACAGCCAGACAGTCATTCCTGTCGGTCCGGCAGTGGCTGAGCAGCGTGGAGGTGAGCTGGTGACCTTCCTAGGAGCGCTTATGCTGACTCCTGTCTCCCCTTTGTCCCTGCCCATCTCCTGCCTGGCCCTCTGCTCTTCCAAAACCCAATTCAAAACCCACCTTCTCCAGGAACAAAACAATTCTGACGTTCATATGGCCATTCATCCAGCCCAGTACTGGGTACTGGGGATTCAGAAATGAACAAGACAGACACAGTCCCTGCCCTCATGGAGGCGGGGACTTGAAAAATACAAATTATATCAATAACTGTGTCACTGCAATTGCCGTAAGCGCCATGAGCGAGTGGCATAGGATTGGGGGAGGGGCTTAGAGTGGAGCATCAAGGAAGGTTTCCCTGAGAAACCCACATTTAAACTGAGTCCCACCGTGTTCTTCCCCCTTTTCATCCCCGCACTGTTCCAGCTGCAGGGAGCCCAGCTGTGCCTAGCCTAGGAGAAGCACCACGCAGTGTTTTGGGGCCTCTGTCACATCCCTTCACAATGTGAGGGCCCCTGGCTCACCCCAAAGTTACCCTGGGCAGGGCACACAGGCAACAGTACTCTTCTGTGAATTCTGGGTTATCTGTGGGACTCTACTCTCTTGATTTATACTTGCAATAAGTCACTTTAAAAAAAAATTTTTTAATGTTTATTTATTCTTGAGAGAGAGAAAGAGAGCATGAGCAGGGGAGGGGCAGAGTGAGAGAGGGACACAGAATCTGAAATAGGCTCCAGGCTCTGAGGTGTCAGCACAGAGCCCGACGTGGGGCCATCGTGGCTCTAACTCACAAGCCATGAGATCATGACCTGAGCTGAAGTCAGACACTTAACCAACTGAGCCACCCAGGCACCCCAACAATAAGTCGCTTATAAGTGCTTTTTACTTTCTGACCATCTGCATGTTCTTCCTCTACCCCTCACATGTAGCCTTCACAAGGCCAAAGTCAGTGTGGACAAGCCACATATGTGTTTTACAGGGCCTCAGCTGAGTATTTAACCAAACAGTCAGAGAGGATGTCCCAACTCCTTCCACTGGCGGGATCCATGCTTTGTTCATTTATTTGTTGAAACCACTGCCAGGCACTGGGAATTCTAACAGCAGATAAGAGACAAGTTTTCTGTCCTCATGGGGTTTATCCCTGCTCAAGCCCCTAGAACCTGCCATAGCCCTTACCTCCTGACCACAGTGTAACACTGCTGTGAAGGTCACTCCTAAGAACTGACACTATGTTTGTCACTGTGTAACTGGTGCTTGGCATGGGGCCCCCCCAGAACTAGTGCTCAGCACATGTGGGAGGCATGAATGGATACGGAATCCTTACGCGGGCAGAATACTGGAGTTGTTCATTTCTTCATCCTTTTGGCCCTAAGATCTGTGATTCCTCCCACCAAAATCTGTTTCTCTTCTAGTTTAGGTTGGCTGGGCCATTCCTTTCTCTGCTGTTAATCCACATCCCTCTCATTTCCAGGAAAAATAAGGAACAAGAATGGAAACTAAATTCAAAGGTTTCTCTGAGATTTGCTTAATACAAATTATTTCTCAAAGTACTGGGCTTAAAAAACTTACAGTAGAGAAAATATAAGTTTTGAAATTTAGTGAATGGCTCTACACCAAGCTAATAAGGGAAATAAATTGTATGGGTAATCTGGAAGTGATTCTTGTTAAAACTTTAGAATTTATGACATGATTTTTTTTTTGATACAGCTACAGATTTATCTTCCTTGCAGAAATTAAGCACCAGGAGAAACATTAGGGATTACCTAACCCAGTGGTTCTCAACCTTTCTTCCTTGGAGCCCTGGGAAGATAATGATGTCCCCCAGGAACTGGGGAGTGCAGGAAAAGGGGCCATGGTCACAGTTCTGGGTCCTTCACCCCCATGTTGGTCAGAGCCACTCTTCATTCAGTTTTCTACATTGGAGGCCCAGGTACAATTTTGTTAGACAAGAGGATTTCCCTTCGAAAATCACTGATCTAATATAGCCATCTCATTATCAAATGGAGAAATAGAGGCCATGCCTTCTTTTGCATCACCCATTCTTTTCCCAGCCACAGACATTTAATCCCTAATTTGTCTCCTAATATCTAAATCTTTTTAAAAGTTTTTTTAAATGTTTATTTATTTTGAAAGAGAGAGACAACATGAGCAGGGGAGGGGCAGAGAGAGAGAGAGAGAGAGAGAACCCCAAGCAGACTCCATGAGGTCAGCACAGAGCCCAATGTGGGGCTCGATCCCACAAACAGCGAGATCGTGACCTAAGCCAAAATCATGCGTCAGATGCTCAACCGGCTGAGCCACCCAGACATCCCTAAATCTTGATATATACTAAAGCAGGCAGAGGCTGTTCAAATAGTCTGGGATCAACAGGGATGGATAGAAGCAAACTTATAGAAACATGCTGTCTGCCGTCAGCAGGGGGTGTAGTTTCTGAGGCCCTTGTTTTGGACCAAGAGCCCAGGATCTAGCCAGAGAGGTGGCATGTCACACTGAATTTGGCAGTGGTGGTGGTGTGAAGGAATATCAGAGGGCCATCATGGCAGGTAGAAGAACAAGTTCCATCATTCTCTAGAAAACCAGACCAAGCACCAGAATGTTCTGTCATTCTCTGGAAAATCAGGCCAAGCACCAGAATGTTCCATCATTCTCTGGAAGACGAGGCATGTCCTGAGCGGGGTAGGGCTGAAAAGCATCAGCATGCACCCAGGGAAGCCCTCGTGCATCTGTAGGCCCAGAAAGCCACGCCAAAGGGGCAATTCCATATGCAGTTAACTCAGAATTATCTATGTGTGGATGGGGCTTTTCTGTATAGTTCAGAGCTTGAGTTTTCCTTCTTAAAAATTTTAGCAGAAGGTATAGGTAAACTCAAAATGATGATTCCAAACCTGGACAATCAGGATCACCGTCAGTGCTTTCAAGCAAAACAGATGCCACAAGCCTTCTCTCCCAAACAGAATGATTCAGAGGCTGGAAATACAAAGAAAAAAAAAAAAAAAAAAAAAAAGCAACAGTTCCCCCAGGTGATTCTGATTCTCAGCTGCCATGGTTCCCCCAACCTGGGAAGTGCTTCTCAAAGTCTTATATGCACAGGAATCTCCTGGGGACCTTGTGGAAATACAGAATTTGACTCAGCAGGTTCAGAATCTTAGGTAGCCCCTGAGATTCTGCATTTCTAACAAGTTCTCAGGTGAAGCCAATGCTGCCAGTCCAGGGACCACACTCTGAGAAGCAAGGTTCTAAATCAGTTTCAAAGATGTCCGTGCTTCTTCAACAAGAATTTGCTGAGCATCATCCACATGTCTTGCACTCGTGAGGCTCTCTGGGGGACTGACTCGGTGTGGGGACCCAGTCTGATGGCCCAGGATTTCGAGAACAAGTGCAGGGGGCCGTGGTGTGAACATCTGAACAAGTGTCAGATGGTGGAGTCTGTGTTGAAGGTGTGGAACAGTGGGATCATGAATGCAATTATTCTCAAGAGTCTTGAAAAGCTAAGTCACTCTGCCTTGGCAACCAGCAATCAGGGGTGTCAGGTGACAGATTAAAACCTGACACCTAATTTGATCAGAGGGAACTGAAAATAATAAGAACTTTATATTTGTGGAGTACCTTATTTTTCCACAGAGCTCCAAGCACTTTGCCAACTCCCTCGCCTAGAGAAGGGAGGGTGGAGGGGGAGCTTTAATAACAGGCTTTGGGTTCCGAAGCCTTATTATTAAGTGAATGCTGGCCAGCTGTTCTCAGTGCCCCTTCCTCCCGCAACCTGAAAAGCAGTGTAAAAAGAGAGGACTTAAATTGCCACAGATTACACGTGGCAAAGACTCGCTGTTGGAAGAGGTTGTGTGGGGTGGGAACAGATGCTTGGGGGAGGTATGGACTTCCCTGAAAAGGAAGCTCTCACCACCCCAGCTTGGCACTTCCTGGCCACGAAACTGGCCAATCACCTAATGACAGAGTGGACCAGAGGCTCTGAAGGGCTCCTCCTGGCCCCCACATGCTGACAGGCTACAGCATTTTGGTCCTCTGGGGGAGGGAGGGGGGATCCAGGATGGAGGAGTGTGTGCGGATGAGAGGACCCTAGAGGATCCTTCCAGCCCCGAGGGAACCCAAATCCTTTGAGATTGAAAGAGAATGAAAGCATGCCCTGCTTTATGAGGTGGGAGAGCCCTGCCCCCATGGCTGTTCTCCCACCCCACCCACCCTAGTTTTCACCCCCCAAGTCCAGGCAGCTTTACCTTGCCTGCAGGCCTTCTGCAGAAGGGGCCTAACACTGTGCCCGTTATTGTGCCATTTTACATTTCCTATGTACCTGATAGCGAACCAAAGCAGGTAGCCATTCCTGCCAATGCAGTATTCCAAACCCTCCCCTACCTCCTTCTCATCTCTGCTTGGGGGGACCGGTTCAACCAGTCTAATCTAGAGAAGAAACTGGTTGGGCTCTAAGGGTCCCATGGTTAGATCATGGAACAGACTGGACATCTGGAGTCTGGAACAGACTGGACATCTGGAGACTTTGGGGCCTGTGTCAGATAGGGAAAATGGGATTTGGTACAAGCCTGAACGGGCCGTTCGTTGGTCCAGTTCCAGTTTGTTGGTCCCCAATGTCTGCACTCCGGGTATGTTGAATTTCTTGTCTCGATCTTTTGTCATTCTGATAGCCCTGTGTTGTTAGGCCTATAAGTCAAGGAAGTGGAAAATGACTGAAGTCATTAAGCCAACACGATCAGTGTCTCCGAAAACAAAACAAAACAAAACAAAACTTGGAGATTAATCTAATGCAGCTTCTTGTTTTATAGATGAAAAGTCCTGCGATCCAGAGAGAGGAAGTGACTTGTCCAAAAGTACCCACAGCTTGCCAGACGCCCAGCCAGAACTGGAATCTAGGGCTCTGCCACTGCATTATGCTGCATTATGCATTATGTGACAAGAGCGTCACATGGCCCATGGTTGAAATCTGCTTCTGAAAAATAGGTGTTCGTTTCTTTTTTCAGTCCTTCCCACTTCCGCCCCAAAGCAGAACAGTTCTTTAGCTCAAAGGGGCCAGGCTCACTCTCCTCTCATTTTGTGGACCACCAGCTAATTCTCGTTCTGTGATCTTGGTCATTGGTGACAATGTACAGCACAGAGCAAAAAATAGCAGTTTGATTTTTTCCCCCTGTTCCAAGTTGAGCTTGAAGTGCTGGCAGTTTAAAACGAACTACACGAATAAATCTTGTTTTGACTCATAGTCCAGGGGGTGGATAAATATGGAAACCCCCAAGATATAATTTTGCAGTCATTTTTTTCTTAGCATAACTACATGCTTTAATGTGCTGAGAAATTTTTTGTTCTGGCTCCAGAGAAGTAGCAGCACTATCCTGGCTAAGTGCTTTTTCTTGCCTCCCAGCAAATGGATATTAACACACACACACACACACACACACACACACACACACACTACAACCAACCAACCAAACCCAGCAGCTGCACGTTCTGAGCTGAATGCCAGTCCTCTGCTCCAAGCTGACAGCTCATGTTATTTAAAGTCAGAGGTGGGTAATCTTTTGAATTTTAGCACGTCTGTCTTCCAACAAGCTCAAGTTCAAAGATAGGCAACTAAAATGGTTGAAGGTATGGAGAGGCTTCTGTGTCAGTGTCAGAGGACAGCAGCTTTTTGGGGCCATCTCATAGCTCACAGAATAGACTCTGTGAAAAGTGGTGATTCTGACAGGTCCCACACAGACAGAGACTGTATGCCCAACTAAGTATGTTCAATTCCTTCCCTCTGACCTGCCATGCCTACGGAGTTCTACCAAGCATCTATAGACATTTCAACAGAAATCAGGTGGGGCTTAGACTTGTTTGCCAAAGGAGGTGTGCTTTCGACTTTTAAAAGGAAGTGTTGCTTCATCTGATAGGTACTGATGAGCCTCTTTGTGCAAAGCAGTATCCAGGCTGAACAACGGGTTGGGTATGTGAAAGGTGTCAGGTTTGGGCAGATAGCTCAAGACTTGACATTAAAGTCAGAGAGGACCATGAGACACCCACCCTAAGCCCCGCCCTCCCCATGGCCCTGTGTCAGAGACTAGTCTTGGGCCAGGGTGATGATGGCTGACTGCCCATGGTGAATAGCACACCTTCCAGCCTTCCATGTGTTCTCACTTGTTTTTGCCTTGACTTTGGAGATAAGCCTGATTCTTTATCAGTGGCAGGCCAGGGTCCACAGAGGGGAAGTGAGGTGTCCAGAGTATTTGTGTAAGAGAGGAACAATGCAAAGAACAGAAGCCACAGCTCCAGCTGGGGGCTTGGCTTTTATCAGCTCTTTCTAAGATGTTTTATTTTTATAACCAAGAATTGCTTTAAAAAAGAAGACTGCTTCCCTTCCCCACCCAGAGGCAGCCCTGCTCTTTGTGGTACACGGGGCTCCAATGTTGGGCTTGTGACTATCCCTTACCTGATGCTTAGTCATTCAGTACCCACTATCCCCTTTGCAAGTGATGAAACTGAAGCCGTCACCCATTCCAGCATACCAGAATCCGGGTTCGAATTCTGCCTGGGACTTCAAGTCTGATGCTCATATTTTCAGCATTTCCATGTCAAGAAATCCCACAAGCCTTAGTCATTCCTCACACATAAATCTACAAATATCTCTCATGTGCTCCAAACAGCAAGCCTTTTGGCCCATTTCCCTGCTTCCTTCTCTTTTTTCCCTTTTCTGTGAAAAAGTCTTCACACAAGTTTCTGTGGCACAACAGAGTCAGAAAATGGGGGTATTCCCATTACCCAGCACTCTGGTAATAGGGAGCCACAGCATTGTCTGCATGCCATTAGTGGTTTCTCATGTGCAAACAATTGAAATGTGGTGCAATCCACTTAGCACGTCAACTCCAGTGCACGTAATTTAATCTATTTCTGATGGATCAGAAGACACTGTAAAGATCATGTAGTGCCTTTGACTCATCATTATCAACATTAATTACCATCTTACCATGGATAAGTGGAAATACCACTTTTAGAGAGTTCTAGTTAATAAGACACTAAATAGAGAGTTCACTGGAAATCAGAATTTAGAGAAGAACATTAGAGAATTGTGGACCCATATACTAAAGGGTCCTCATAACTCAGTGACTTTGTTATTGAATGTTCTTTGGGATTCTCTGAACCTTAACGTTCTCATTTAGGAAATGAGAATTTTTTTCACTACCAAACTGCGATAAAAATGAATGTGTAGATTAAGGAACCGTTGAGGCTTTATTTCAAATTTAATTGCATTCAAACTTAAAATACATGTACCTATTGGGTGGACTTTGGACATTTTTTTGAAATGGTGAGATAAAGCAGCTGAGTTATTGACAACACTGTAAGTGATTACTAGCTTGTGTTATCCCCTAACCCTCTCTATTTCGGACAACATTTCTCTGTGATGAATAACTATTGTTTACCAAATTATTATTAAAAGCCCCTAATTAAGTATCTCATGAAGTAAAAATCACAGACTGCTTAAATGTGAGTATTACCATATTTACTCACTTAATAGCTGTGTGTCCTGGGCCCTTGGCTTGCCCTCCTCAGGGGCACAAAAGGTACACGCATTTCACAAGGGAGGAAGCCCTGGGGTGCAGAGACTCCAGGGTGCAGGCCTTTGGCTGATATGCCACAGTCACTGGAGGAGTAAAGAAGGTTGACCCCTTGAATAAACCTGTTACTTCTGGCCCAAGAAGTGCAGCTTCTGTGGCCACATGCTTCTTCCCCATGTGGGCCTTTGGTCAGAGCTAGAGCACCCAATAATAGTGATCTATCTGTACTGCCCCCCGTGGTGACCTCCAGTTAGGTGCACAACAATCCTTTTATAGGCACTGTGGCCCCACGCCTCGGGGAGCTTATGTGCCCAGTATGAGGCCCCTGGAGATGCCATGCCTAATCAAAACAGTCCCTAGAAATGCTCCAAACCACATTGCATTAATTCCTTTCGTTCATTCTGGTTCATTTAGACAAAGTCTGGTCACTTAGGAATGTTTTCGGGGATACCCTAAGTGCTAGAAACGGACACATAGTTCATGAATGTCTTCTGTCCCCTCATGCTGCTACCCACAGCACACCTGAGGAGCCTGCATGGCCCATCAGGCAAGGGTGAGTGGGGAGGGAGGGAGGCCTCAGACACCTCACAGAAGCCTCAGAAACTGAGGCTCTCAGCTTTTGGGATGACTCTTATCGCCTGGCCTGCTGTGGCAGCAGGGGATTCGCAAGCCAGATTGTATCTTTACTGCCAGCATTTTAAGCCTGCCCTTCTGGGTTTTCCTTCTGGATGCTTCTCTCAGTTGGGGGATTATCTGTTTTGCAGGAAGCTGTGGGAGACCGAATTCCTGTTCTTCTGCTGGGCAATAAAATTGACAATGAGAAAGAGCGGGAAGTTCCCCGAGGCCTTGGAGAGAAGCTTGCCAAGGTAAAGAGCAAACTTTCCATCTCTCTAGACAAGGTACGAGCCCGAGGACAGTCAGGCAAGTGCCCAAGAGCCTTGGTGGGAGCCTTCCCTGGAAGCCCCCTGGGAAGGAAGCAAGTGGGCAAGATGGGTGTCCTGGCATCGTGGAAATGGCATGTGGATGCCCGTGCATGTGGAACTTTCTGTAGAAAGTCACACATTGCAAGATAGAGCTGGCTAGGAATGACTAGGTGGTATGGGGAATTTTCCCAAACACTTTGCCCTGGAACTCAGAATGATAGATTCTTAGATACTAGGAGGTTACTTCTTTAAATCCCCTATCTGATCTTTGAATGCCTTCCTCTGTGTTTCCACTTGATCACCTTCAGGGATGAAACACTCTCTGTAAGGCAGACTGTTCTTTGAACAGCTGTGTTCACGAGTTTATCCATTCTGATCAATATTGAGTCCAAAAGCGGTGAACCCAAGATAAACTCAGAGCATGCCCTCAAAACTTTACCATTAAAATAAGCACCAGCCCTCTTACCCACGCTGGGGGCCAATAAGGCTTGTTGGAAATCAGGCACAAACAGTGGCACTCCTTGGCTGTTTCTACTGCCTCCGAGTGCTTTTCAGGAACCTGTGTGTCTGAGAAGGTGGGGGTGCTTTCCAGCCCTAGGATTCCATATCTCTTAGTGTGCTTGCTCTAAACAGGCACTCATGGGACACCTGGGTGGCTCAGTTGGTTAAGCATCCGACTTTTGATTTCAGCCAGGTCATTATCCCAAGGTCATGGGATCAATCCCCACGTTGGGCTCTGTGCTAAGCGTGGAGTTGGCTTGAGGTTCTTTCTCTTTCTCCCTCCACCCCTTCTCTTTCTCTCTCTTTCTCTCAAACTAAAAAAAATAATAATAATAGGGGTGCCTGGGTGGCTCAGTCAGTTAAATATCCAACTCTTGTTTCCGGCTCAGGTCATGATCTCACAGTTGTGAGTTCGAGCCCCACATTGAGCTCCGCACTGACAGTGGGAAACCTGCTTGGAGTTCTCTCTCTCCCTCTCTCTCTCTCTGCCCCTCCCCTGCTCGCATGCTTTCTCACTCTCTCTCAAAATAAAGAAATAAACATTGATAAATACTAATAAATAAATAAACAAACAGGGACTTGTGACCCCAGAGGTCAGGAAAATGGGCACAGATGGTAAGAGTCAAGTAAAAAAGGAGCAGGAAGGGTTTGGCAGGTGTTCCTGCGAAGGGTCAGAGGGTAGCCACATGTCTGCAGTCCCTTACCCACAATGCTCACAATACTGAAACAGAAAGGTTTGTAGTGTTTTGTCTGGCAGAAAAATCTGACCAGGACTGACATGAAGCCATTTATGGTCTTTTTGTTTACCTCACTTGGATAAATTTTCCTATGTTTCAAGAAATATTAATATGTTTGATCATAGGGTGCTATCCCAGACCAACTGAGGGTAATATATAGTATATACATCTGTTATTTTTGTGAAACTCAGAGTCTCTGGATTCCAGAGTACATCTATATCCAAGGAGTTTGATTAATGAACTGCAGGCCTGTATATTTATCATCCCATTTTTTTTCCCTTTTTATTCTTTTTTTTTTTTTTTTTTTTTTTTTGGTTAATTAAAAAAAGAAAATACAAGCAAATGAGGCTCAGAGCAGTTAAGTGATTAATTCGAGTGATCGTACAGGTCCTCAGGGGTGGAGTCAAGACTTGAAGGTGGAAGGTGGATCATGCCTTCCAATTCTAGATCCTATGTACTCTCCCTCCTCCCACCGTGAAGTCTTCATTCTTCCAAAGACTGACCCAGAGTCTGGCTGTGGCACAAGTGTGGACAGGGGTAGGATCTGGGCCTCTGGGGTGTGAACCAGGAAAGCTGAACTGGGGGCCAGTGTCTAGAGCCTCCTGATCTGCAAGCCACAGAAGTGTCCTCATTCAGTGCCTGCATCCCTACAGGGCATCAGCCTCCAGAGTTTCATGCCAATAGCAATGTCCTAAGGAAGCAGGAAATCTATTAACAGGAGTGATAAATGGATATAATGATGAGGCTTAGCCAAGAGCCCCCACCACGCAGGCAGCACAGCCTCTGCGTCCTGAAGTGATCGACAACTGTCCTGTGACACGAATGCTGACAGCCTAGGCAGCTGGAATAGTAATTAACTGGTGTGAAGGAGAATTCCCACTGGTGTACCTCAGTGACATCTGCCCCAAAGTTCACGGAATGCGGGTGTTCTGGGCAAAACAAGCTGCTGGGAGGCCTGCCATTAACTCAATAAGTCACTGAATGAACTGACCCGCCCTTTATACTATGCCCTTGGTTTCCCTGCCTGTGCATTGTGGAGAATGTGGTGCATCCTGGCCTTTGTTCCTCTGCCTGCACCACAGGCTGGTGTGAAAAGGAAATGGGCATCTACATACCTCAGAGCAATTTGTGAAAGCGTGAAGCACTAAGGCAGCATACTGTTTGGTGTTTTACAATTGTTATAGCTCACCTGGGAGATGCTTACAGAACTTGCATTAGGCAGGGAGCCTGAGGAGACTGAAATCAACCTTGAAGAGAGCAGGGATGGGGAGAGGAATTAAAGGGGACTGTGAGAGGAAGTGAGGCAGGAGGGCTGATGCAGATGGGGTGTTCTCCTCCCATGGGTCCCTCGAGCTCCCCCAGTACTCTCTTTTTGTCCCCTCTGCTTTATGGTTCTAGGAGAACAATCTGATCTTCTATGAATGCAGTGCCTATTCCGGTCACAACACCAAAGAGTCCCTACTTCATCTAGCCAGGTAAGGAAGGAGGCACATCCCAGCAAACAGAGTCTGGTGGGAAGCACTGCACTCACCCCTGAGAGGCCATTCCTCTGTCTGCCGAGCCTTCTGGGTAAAGGGGTTGGAGGCCTAGGGCTTTGTGTGGGATTCAGGGACAGCCCTCTGAAACACAATAGGGACAAAAAAGAAAGCCCCCTTGCCTCTTGCCCCCCCCCCATAGTCTTCTTCTGGGTCTTAAAAGCTGCCCTTTTCCCAGGGATCCTCTTTTTAAATGCAAATGCTTCCAGGAAAGGTCTTATCATAGGTCCCTGAACACTGGCTAATATCTTAGCAGGGATTAGCTGGCAGCCGGCAGGGAACAAGAACAGTTATAATATGGGCACGGGGGAGGGTGAGGAGAAGCCAGGGAGAGGAGGGGCTATTTGGGGGAACGAGAGGCATCTAAGGTGACAGCTCTCAAAGGGTTAGTTCCATCAAAAGACTGGTTTCATAAGCCTCCGCCTATACCAAAATTTAAAAAAAAAAAAAAAAAAAGAACCATACAGGGCCCCATTTTCAATACTTGGAAATTCACTCATTTACCCATCTTGGCATTCATTTCATTCTATCTGTCCACCGACCTAACCATCCATACACCCAGTCACCTATCCACCCATCTACCTATTCATCCATCCACCCATCCATCTATCCATCTATCCACCTATTCCTCCAGTCTATCCACCCATCCATCCACCCATTCACACATCCATTTATGCATCCCTACATGTATCCATTAATTCACCAATGCATCCATCCATCCATCCATCCAACAAATACTTAATAGTGCCCATTTTGGGTCCAGTGCTCATTCTGGGGAATTTTGTAAATATTTTCATTTGATTAATTAAGAACCCAGAATAACATTTTCTACGCATTGGAGAGACTGTGGAGTTATGGAAGACCATGAGGAAAGTTCTAGGCTTTTTCCTGCCACTGATTCTGGGGTAAAGTAAGTCTACCTCTCTGAGATTTGCCCCCAGCATAGGAACATCAATCATACCCTCTCTGCCTACTCAGACTGTTGTAAAATCAAAAGGGATGCTTAAGGTGAAAGCACATTGAGAGTATAAAGCAGGGATAAGATACTTACCACTATTTTTAATTCTTCACCTCCTACATTTAATCTGCAACTGTGGCAACATGGGACAGACCTTCTATAGAGTTAATAACCAAAAAGTATCTTCTTTGAGTCTCTACTGTGTGCCAGGTACTACGATAGGCTACAGAGACACAGAGACAAAGTATATAGTCTCTGCCTTCAAGCAGCTTTCTCACCTCAGGGAGCCAACAAAGGAAGCAGTGCATTATGACATGGGGTGATGGGGTTTTTACAGAGGAATGGTCAAAATGCTGTCAGGGGCACTTACATCACCTGGAAAATCTGGGGAGGCTTCTTTGAGGAGGTGTCATGAAGGATCCATATTGGTTAAACTTTGTCTTTACAAATTATGGTTATGTAGCTGCACTTCCCAGGGGGAGACTTTGAAAACTCTGATGCTCTGGTGATGTTGGGTTCCCTCCTTATCATCCAGATGGCCTATATATAACCCAATGGCCTAGCAGCTCTTCTCTACTGACACTATACCTTCCCCTCTCCCAGGATCCTCAAGAAACAAGAAGATACAGCAAGAGAGGACACCATACAGGTTGACCGCTCTGCCAAAAAGAAATCCTGCTGTGGCTGATAGGAGTCCTCCTAGGACTGTTCCACCCAGGCCTGGGGTCCTAGGACCTACCCTGAATCCTGCACATAGGCTCCCACTTGGATGCCTCCACCATAACCCGCCCAAACCTTTGTCTGTGTCAGTGACTTGCCTCCACCAACAGGAGGGGAAGCACATCTAGTCAGGAAAGCTGCTCTTGGAGCATTTTGAAATCTTCTCTCTCTTCTCTCTCTCTAGACCCCAGATGCCCATTTTTCCCCCAGCTTGGATTTGTGGGGAAAAGAAACAGATGGGATTTTCCAGAAAAATCACCACATGCCTTCTCTACCTCCCTTCTGCTCCCCTTGCCCTTTGGAGCTGCAGCACTGTGGTTGCCATGGCAACTGTGCAGGGCAGACTTGCTGCTTCCTGTAGGCCAAAGATAAAGCACTTGGGCAGGGCCAGGATGGTTGGTCTTCCCTTGGCTCCTCGGGACATCAATGGGATGCTCTTGGCATATGCTTCGTGGACCTTGAGATGCCCACACAGGTTGAGAAAAGCAAGCCAGGGCACCCACATTCTATTCCACACCCCACCTCCAGGGGCCCTGCTTCTTGCCAGGCTGCAGAAACCAGCCTCTAAGCAGCCAGCATGTCTACTGTATTTGTTCCCTTGGGGTCTCGGGAACAGTGCCTTACAAGAAACCCACAGCCTTTTCTCTCAACCACCCACCCATGACCCTGACTCCAGGGTGGACTGCGGGTGATTTAAGTATTAAGTGTGTGCCCATGATTAGGGAGAGGGCTTCCTTCCTACTTAACTTTCACTAAGAGATGGAAAGAAAATTAGGGAGAAAAACCCATCTGCTGCTAAACAGAGCGACCATTTCTGGAGTATAAATAAGGTATACATAGCTCTGTGAAAGCCATTTTCCAATGTTTCTCAAAATAGCTCTTCGGAAAATTGTACATGATGATTAATGGGATAGATTGACATGCAGGCAGTGAGACCCAGCACCAGGTCCACAGTTACTGACTTCATTTTATTTTATTTTATTTTTCCAGAGGACTGTATTACAAAAAAGAAAGTGAGGCCGTGGTGTTGACATATAGCTGGTGTTTAAGAAGTAAGCAGAGTATAGCTATAGGCTTCAGCATCCCTGTGACTCTACCAGCACAGGGCACTCACATTGAGGGGAATGATCTGGGCCCATGTATTGTTCCTTTGTCTGGGTAGTGGTGAGTTTCCAGCCCCAGCAGTGCTCCAGCATCACTGGGGTGGAGGGTGCTGGTAAAGGCATTCTCGCCCTGGGTAGGGAGCTTGGGTGAAAAGATCATAAAGATCACTGCATATTACTGCTCTAGGGCTGCAGGCCCAGCCCCACAGGGAAGTGAGTGGTACCCACACCCAATCAGAACATGTAAGAATAGAGAGGAGCAGAAAGTGTCCACAGGCCTCCAAGAAGATTCAAGACAACTGTGCACAGCCAGCCAGGCAGAAGAGAATCCTCTGGTCAGAGTTCCCTGTAGCCTCCACCCCAGACTCCTAAAAGCATCAGTGCCCTGTGGGTCACCAGGCAAGTGCCTGCCTCCTTTTCATAGGCTTTTCTTTCCCCCATTTAGTGCTTGGAGGCACCAGGGGGCCCACGGAGGGTGTAGAACAAAAGCCAGCACTAAGTACCAGGAGGTGCCCCATGGTCTTGGGCAAGTCAGCTCCCTGCCTGGGCCCCCTTCCCATCAGTAAAATGAAGCGTGGGCTATTCGACACTTCTGGCTCTTCCTGCTCAGAATGCTTATGATGACAGTAGGGGCTCTGGCCCCTAGTCCAAATTTGAAGGGAACTCACAGGAAATTCCTTTCTCTAAGAGAGGGCACTGGTGATGGTCTCATTAGTGGGATGCAGGGGATCACCCAGAAGTAGCCCTCCAATATCTGTGTGGGTGTGTGTTGCTGTGTGATTATATGTTATGGGGAGGGTGCAGAAAGAGGGTAGGGATAGCCATAAAGAAAGCAAACCAACTCTCCTGCTTCTGAAAACAAAAAAGCAGAGATGGCAACTGGAATTTATGGGTCAGGCAGGCTATACCTGGAGTTGCCCAGCCCACACATGCTTTTATCCCCTATACCTAGTCCCTGGTTTGGGGCTGCATTTGTCCACTTCAGAAAAGTGCATCTAGGGGTTACAGCAGGGTGGAGTGATCCTAGTGCTGACCCACCAAGTAAACCCCCACAAATCCTCAAAGGTCCAGGCAGAAAGAAGAGAGTAGGAAAGGTCTTTAGGCCCCTGCTGCTTCTTTTTCCAACTCCACTTGAGACAACTATGCATGATGGCACCTCAGAGAGACTCTGAGAAATTCTGTGTCCCCAGATCAGAGCATCCCCCCTCTCCCCATTCCTTTTAAGCTATCATGGTGATCAAAGACACCCCGGTGGCTGTGAGCCTGTCCCAGGGCCTGGCAGAGTGCTGTCGGGGAAACCTCTGGTTCCATCCTATTTTCATTGCTAAAATGGCCTTGAGCAAGTCACCTGAACAGGTTTCATGTTTAGCTGTAGGTTGGAGGTTTCAATGTCTACTTTCCATGGATATTTTAAGTATTAAACGAGGCAATGAATGTGAAATACTTAACGCAGTGCCCAGCACATAATAGGTACTAACAAGTACCGGCTATTATTGTTGTCAACATTGAGTCACTGCCCAGGCCATCATTAGCCTTGCCCTAATTTCAGATTTAGAACCAGCTAACACTAATCATGTACCCATAAGTGAGGGCTTTCACAAATACTACCTCATTTGAGTACCCAATTGCCCTGCTCATTTGCCTGGCTTATGAACTTGTTTTCAGTATTGCCTCCTGGCCCTGATCTTTTTTGTTCCTGTGGGTTTCCTGGCTTTCCAAACACCCATATCTTACCAGTGTCTGTGGTATGGTTTCAGCCCACAGTCCATTCTGCTTCCCTCCCTGTGGTTCTCCAGGACTCAGACAGCAGCTCAGACCTGGTGCCAGGGTGTTTACCTGAGAATGACCTGTGCTCATCACAATCCTTGGCCCCACATTTTTCTCCCCTGTTCTGACTCCTTGTGCTCCTTCTGGTATCTGCTGCTGCCCTCAGCCCCAAGTTGTCCCCAAGAACTTCAGCACCAAACCAAAGCCCTAGTTATTTTGCTGCTTGTCTAGCATTTGTCTTTCTTGACAGTCCCTGAAGTCTTTTCTGATCCTCCGTGATACACTAGCTTTCTTCCACTTCTCCCCATCCTGTACTTTTCTTCTGTTCTTAACATTTCCACCCAATCTTGGACTCCCCTTTTCCCTACTCTCCACACCCTGGGCCCACTCCAGGCCATAACTGTATGTTCTATCAAAAATAGCTCAACCTTTTGTCTCTGTCACTAGCAGTCAATGCTCTAAAGGAGCTTAAACCAATTTCAGCTAAGATATTAATGCAATTGGTGGTTTAAGGGCTATGTATATACTTTAACAAAAAATTAAAGGAGGAAAAACTTTATTTCAAGGGAATAAATTCCTAATGGTCATGGGGGTCAAAGATTTAAGACAGAACTGCCTTCCCCTAACACAATTTGCTTCAACCTATTTCTAGGTTCATATAGGTTTATAATTGTTACATCTTCTTTATGAATTGACCCTTTATCATTATAAGGTGTCTTTCTTGCCTTTAGTAACAATTTTTGTCTTAAAGTCTATTTTGTCTAATATCAGTATAGCCACACCAGCTCTCACTTTCTGCCTATTTATGCTTTTAAATCTAAACTAAGTCTCTTGTAGACAGCATGTAGTTGGATTGTGGTTTTTTTTTGGGGGGGGGATTGCTTTTTGTTTTTGTTTTTTATTTTAGAAAGAGAGAGAGAGAGAGCACATGAGTGAGAGAGAGAAGCAGAGGGAAAGAGAAAGACACAGGGCTCAATCCCATGATCCTGGGATCATGACCTGGGCCAAAATGAAGAGTGAGATGCTCAACCAACTGAGCCACCCAGATGCCCCTCGATCATGTTTTAAATCTATTCTTCCAATCTCTGCCCTTTAATTGGAGAGTTTGCTATGTTTACATTTAATATAATGGGTAAAGTAAGATTTGGTGTCTACCATTTTGCTAGTTCTTTTCTATATTTTATATTCTTTGTTCTTCTGTTTCTCCACTACTGCTTTCTCTTGTGTTAAATAATTAATTTCTAGTGCACTATTTTAATACCATTCCATTCACTATATATATTTTAACTTATTTTCTTGGTGACTGCCCTGTAAGTAACCATTAATATCTCAATTTATAGCAATCTAGTTTGGATTAATACCAACTTAATTTCAATATTACACAAAACTTTGCTCCTCTATAGTTCCATGCCCCCCTCTCATATGTTGTTATTGTCACAAATTATATCTTTATACATTTTGTTCCCATCAACGTAGATTTATTGCTATTGATTTATGCAGTTCTCTTTTAAATCAGATTTTAAAAGGAGTTATAAACAAAAAATACATTCATACCATTTTCTGTATTTAATTACATAATTATTTTTACTAGTGCTCTTTTTTTCTTCATGTTGATTCAAGTTACTATCTAGAGCCTTTTCACTTCACCAATATTTCTTATAGGAAAAACCCCTCTCAGTTTTGTTTACATGAAAACGTTGATTTATCCTTCAGTTTTGAAGGATAGTTTTGTCCGATTTTGAACTTCTGGTTGACAGCGTTTTTGCCTCTTTGCTACTTTGAATATACCATGCCTAGTTTCTGGCCCCCATGGTTTCTAATGAGAAATTACCTGTTAATCTTATTGAAGCTCTTTTGTGTATGTTGAATTGCTTTTGTTTTGCTGCTTTCAAAATTCTTTTTTTTTTTTTTTGGCTTTCAACAATTTGATTTTGATGTGTCTAGCTGGAGGTCTTTTTGAGTTTATCCTACTTGGAGTTTGTGTAGCATCTTGGTTGGTTTCCATCAAATTTGGGGAGTTTTTGGTCATTATTTCCTTAAGTATTCTTTATACCCTTTTCCCCCTCTCCTTTCCTTCTCCTGTAATGCATATGTTGTCATGCTCGATGGTGTCCCACAGGTTTCAGAGGTTTTGTTCATTCTTTTCTTCATTGTTTTTTGTGTTCTTCAGACTGCATAATCTCACTTGCCCTATATTCAAGTTCACTGATTCTTTCTTCTGCCTGCTGAAATATGCTATTGGGACCCTCTAGTGAATTTTTTTTTCCATTGTACTTTTCAACTTCAGAATTTCTATTTGGTCCTTTTTTTTTTTTTTTCAACGTATATTTATTTTTGGGACAGAGAGAGACAGAGCATGAACGGGGGAGGGGCAGAGAGAGAGGGAGACACAGAATCGGAAACAGGCTCCAGGCTCTGAGCCATCAGCCCAGAGCCTGATGCGGGGCTCGAACTCACGGACTGCGAGATCGTGACCTGGCTGAAGTCGGACGCTTAACCGACTGCACCACCCAGGTGCCC